CGATGAGGCTAATGTACAGGTCTACACGTGATCAGACTTTTAGCCCCGTGTCTTGGAGAGAAATCTTCAACATCTAAAACCGATAACAATGTCAATTAAAAATCAACCGTGAAAGGAAATCCTGTGATGAGAGAAATTTCTAGACGACCCAGCAGATCGGTTTCTGGGCTAGGTAGGCCTTGTTCAAAGAAGTTTCATCTTGTATAGGAGCAGTGTGTACAGCGTGCAAAAGAACATCACCGAGCAGCTTTGTTGAAGCCTTAAACGTACCGTTCAGGTCCAGTCTGGAGAGGTCAAACCAGTGGTGGTCAGCGCCATGATGGGAGAGGGCCTCAAGGGTGGCCACTGATATGGGCACATAATAGTCAGTGACTAGACAGTCACAGAAAGCTGTCAGACTGCAAATATGGAACAGGAGATGGTCAGTGACTATGGACATGATACAAGAGATGGTCAGATTGTAGACCTGGGACAGGAGATGGTCAGGAACTATGGACATGATACAAGAGATGGTCAGGCTGTAGATATGGAACAGGAGATGGTCAGGAACTATGGACATGATACAAGAGATGGTCAGATTGCAGACCTGGGACAGAAGATTGTCAGTGACTATGGACATGATACAAGAGATGGTCAGGCTTTAGATATGGAACAGGAGATGGTCAGGAACTATGGACATGATACAAGAGATGGCCAGATTGCAGACCTGGGACAGAAGATGGTCAGTGACTATGGACAATGGTACAAGAGATGGTCAGAGACTACAGGTATGCTACTGGAGAAGGTAAGACATTGCTTACATGCTTCAGGAGACAGTCAGACTGAAGACAAATTACATGAGACTTCTAAATATTATTGCAACCCTCTTACAAATCACAGGCCACCATCTTCTAGGGCCTCAAGGGCCGCAGGTTGGGCACCAGGGGGATTAAACACAGGTCTTGATGTGAGAGCTCAATGAGGCTTTTCATAGGTTTCAGAATTTCTTGAAGCTTGTTGGAAGCCTGCTACTAACTTGTTTAAAGCAACTTCATCAAGATCTCGGTTTACCATCCCCATACAGGAACCAAAGCTTTCTTTAAAGGCTTGCTGTACACATTGCCCTCATACAAGCTGAAGCCAATTCGTACAAGGGTCTTATGGATCCAAAATTAGGAGGAAGATCTGCTTACACCCAATGAGTATTTGCTCCGTGGTCATTGACTCCGAATGTTTTGAAGGCACGGACAACAAGGCATCTAGTATAAAAAAAAAAATATCCCAGCAATTGCAGCCTACAGATTTCTTTCATCACGTTTCCTTTAAGGACTTTCCACTTTTAAAATTGCATATTTTTTAATTCTAGCTAAATGGGTCACCCGAAAAAAGATCTAAGTTGTCCCTTGAAAACAACGTCCTCGGTCTGGTCAACAGAAGAATCTACTTTAGTGTTTTGCGACTGAATTTCACATTAAAAACGGCCATCTGAAAGACAGCGGGTCCGGTTTAATCACACCACGGAAACCGTTCTATCAAGGTATAACATAAACCTGTTTCATGACACCGTTTAACTAAAAAGGACATAAAAGTCTACCACGTAGACACATCTTTTAAAAAGAACTGCAATGTGAAAAATACTGCAAGCAACTATTTCGTTCCAATACCACAGGGCGAAAAAAAAAAAAGGGTTCTTTGAAGGACCTTTCTGCTCCCTCTACATTCCTTGCTAAATTCCGTACCGTTCTCTATCTTACACAGTCCACAAGGCAGTGTGTGAGGAATTGGGGAAAAGAGGGATTAAAAAAAAAAAAAAAAAAGAAGAATAAACTCTTAACTTTATACACAAGTCCATCTAATGACATACGATTAACCCCGGAAGTGGAGCAGTGCAGGGCAGTGAAATTAGCTTAAAATAAAAAAAACACGGGGTGGGGGGGGGGATGCCCTCTTTAAAAATTGTAACATTTCTTTTTTTTTATAGCAAATAATACGATTATAACCGGCGAAAAAAAGAGGGCATAAAAGGTTGCAGTTTTTTTTCTTCTTTTCCTTCAAAACTAATAACGATCGCGTTCGAAAACGTCTGTACAAAAAAAAAAAAGAGTTTTTAAAAATTGGTCCCGTTGTAGATAAAAGTTTTTTTTGTTTTTTTTTCTTCTTCATGGTCCCGTCATAAAACATTCTTATAAAATCACTGGAGACTTCATATTCTGCTTTGTAGCGCTCCAAACACTATACAAGTCGTGGGGTAAAAAAAAGAAAAAGGGGGAAAGTAATGAAAGGTGAACGAGAGAGTCAAAGAGGGGGAAAAAAGGGGGGTGAAGGCACTACAAAGTATTGGCAGGTCTTATGTCGGTCAGGCAAACACCTGCATGTTGTTGGTGTGGTCGGGTAAGTGGGACGTCTGCCCGTGGGTCCCACCTACTACCACTGGGCTGGGGGTAGTGTCAGACCACTCTGACACGGAGCGAGGGGATGGGCTGGACCACTGCTCTGGAGACTCAGGGGAGGGGGTCAGGTAGGGGTGCTCAGTGGGGATGTGTAGATAGTGTTTCGGGGTTTCCTCTTGAGAAGGTACGAAGGTTTGCTGAGGAGGAGCGGTCATAGCTGGTGGCGTCTGGATGCGGCCCTCGCTGGGTACGCTCTGCTGTTTGAAGTAGTTTCCTTCGGTTGCCGTGACCGCCTGAGTTGACCTCTCGGCTACATGTGGCATGCTCTGCTGCCTCAAGTGAGCGGTGTTTGGGGCCACTGGGCCCATCTGGCACTGCGGATCCATGGAGATCTTCACCGGACTCTGCATGGCCATCTGGTTCTGCAGCATCATAACTTGCTGGGCGTGAAGCTGATGTAAGTTAGGCACGGAACCCGCAGGGGCTCCTGCCATGATGTTGCGTGAGGGGTGTGAAGAGGGCACCTGGCTCTGCCACGCGAAGGGAATGCCGCTTGCGCTGAGCATGCCGATATTTAACCCGTTCACCACACAGCTTGGTGCACGCTGCATTGGCACTCTGCCTTGAAGGGCCATCATGGCGTTCCCTTGGGCTTCTCCAATCTCGTTTAGACGAGCCAAAGACACAGCAAAAGGCCCCTCCATAAGGCCATTCACAAGAGGGGTGGAGGGCACGGACAAGGAGCCGAGGTGAAATGTGCCAGGCGCGGCCATTGCTGGGGAGCCAGGATTGCCACTATAAGCACGCGGTGAATCGAGGGAGTCAACAGGCGAGAGTGTTACCGAGCTCTCCAGCAGACCGCCACCGCCAGATGGGCAGTCGAGAGACAGCTTCTTGTTTCGGTTTTTCGCCTCCTTTGCTTCTCCTCGGCTCAGGCTCGCCCCGCCAGCTTTGGAGCTTGCCCGGCGGCTTTTCTTGCCTTGTGGTGTCTGCTTCATATTGCCCATGAAACCGTTAGGAGGACAGAGTAGTGGTGACATGGTGTGTCCTCCCATTGTCCCTTGGGAACCCCTGACCGCATTATGTTCCTCTAGGAGCTGAACGATGTCGTGGTGTAGCCTCTCTTGAGCTATGTCACGAGGGAGGCGGTCCATATGGTCCGTAATCTCGCGATTGGCGTAGTGATCAAGGAGAACTTTTGCAGCTTCATAACTTCCTTCCCGGGCAGCTAGGAACAATGGGGTTTCCTCCTGGAGGGTAGAACAGCAATAAAGGTTACTACATGCATACAGCTACTAGTCAAATATGTTGTAAAATTATAAAAAGAATCAGAGATCATACTTCACAGTCTACTATAGAGAATGGCTTGCGTCTATGGATGGACATACAAACATGACTAGAAGACCTTCTCAAGGACTTCAGCTTGTATAAGAGCAGTGTATACAGCAAGCTTTTACAAAGCATTTGCAGAGCTTTTGAAGTTTCACTCAACTTCAGTTTGAGAATTTTAAGGCAGAACTCCAGGAACTTCCTCCCTTAAGGTCTTCTAGACGGTCTGATGACATCACAACTTCTTCTCTTTCTTACAGCGGCATTGGGTGGGGGTGGCATTCCTCCAGGACTAAGCAGTACTCTTGTAATTATATGCAAGTGCTGCTCAGCCCTGGAGTACTGTGAGCCCAGCCTGCGTGTTGACATATCCCCAAGAGGGGCACGCACTGTGCACATGTGCTCACAGGAAATAGGCAGAATTACAGTGTGTCGTTCTGCCCTGAAGAGAACCACTGGGGCTGGACCGAGGAGGAAGTCAGGGACACTGCTGGAGTAAGGGAAGGACAAGTACATATTGGCACTATAAGGGAACAGGCCACGATAGCCCTTTATTGGCCACAATGGCCCTTCATTGGCCACGATGGCCCTTCATTGGCCACGATGGCCCTTCATTGGCCACGATGGCCCTTCATTGGTACTCCGCCTTGAAGGGCCATCGTGGTGTTCCCTTGGCCTTCTCCAATCTTGTTTAGGCGAACCAAAGACACAGCAAAAGGCCCCTCCATAAGGCCATTAACAAGAGGGGTGAAGGGCACGGACAAGGAGCCAAGGTGAATGAAGGGCATTTCTCCAGGACTAAGTGGTGCTCTTGTAATTATATGTAAGCGCCCCTGGAGTCCTGGAGTACTGCGAACCCAGCCTGTGTTGACGTATCCCCAAGGGGGGCATGCAAACGACACTGTGCTCGCGGGAAACAGGCAAAAGTACAGTGTGTTGTTCTGCCCTGAAGAGAACCAACAGTGCTGGACCGAGGAGGAAGTCGGGGACAGTGCTGGAGTATCGGGAGGACTAGTGAATATTGGTACTATTGGGGAATCTAACAATGAAAAACGAAATCCTGGAGTTACACTTTAAACAGATCTTAATGGGAGGCTGTCACTCTAAACAAGCTTAGTAAGCTTGAGCACTATTTGAAGTTTGTTGACAGTCTGCTTGCAGCTTGTTTAAAGTGACAGTCCGCATCCCATTAGGATCTGTGTAACATCCCCAAACTGGAACTGGAGAGTTCTTTAAAGGTTCCCACAAAGCTGTTTGAAGCTTGCTGTATACACTGCTCTTGCATATACTGTAAGCTGTGTGAAGGCCTCACTAAAGAATGACTTGTGGGCTTGACACATGGTAACAAAGCACTTTTATAAAAGTAAGGCTTGCTGTTTTCTTAAGAATTGGTAGGAAATTGATAACCATGCCTCCATGCCCAGGCGCTCAATCCTCCCCTGCTGCAGAGTTCTAGTCCACACTGATATACTTACATTGAAAAAAGTGATAAAAGAACGTTCAACAAGTGCAAAAAAGTCAGGTCATCCCTGTACACCCCCCCAGTATACACGCACCTTGCTGTCCTGCATGTCCTTGTTGGCTCCATTCTTCAGCAAAGCCATGGCAGCCTCAATGTTATTCACAGCTGCTGCCCAATGAAGAGCCGACTTGCCTGGGGAGGAGTAATGGGAGAAAATACGTCAATCTCATGTTAAAATGCTGCTGATGGAAAAGCAGTACTCATTAAAATAATGGAGGCCATCAGCTCCACACTAACCGAGTTCATCCACAGCATTGACATCAGCGTGGCAGGCGATAAGCTCCTCCACCATCCCCTCCACTGCCAGGCGGGCAGCCAAGATCAGCGCAGTAGAGCCGTCGCCCATTCGAGCGTCTAGGTCTGTGGATCGGTTCCTGATGAGAATCTGTGGGTAGAATTGTTATTAGAGAGGGATTCCGGACATACAAACTATTCAAAGCTGCCACAAGGATAATGATCACATCACAGGGGCAACTTGCCTGAAAAACGCCTTGTGCGTCGGCTGCCACGGCGGCGTGCAGCGGGGTACGTCCTGTATTATCTTGAGCATTGGGATCAGCGCCAGCGTCGAGAAGTCTCTTGGCCGCGTCTGCTCTGGCATACCGCGCTGCAAGATGTAGCGCCGTCTCACCAGTTCGATCCGTCTGTGCCCCAAGAGATGCCCCTTGACAGATGAGGTCGGAGATGGCCGAGGCTTCCCCTTCTTCCTCGTCTTCCTGAGACTCTGGCTCAAGCCCACCTCCCAGGAAGGATGCCAACATCAGCGGGGTGAATCCATCTACAAAAGGAGAACGATCAGATTACCATCACATTCCAGCTAAATGGACAATTTATAAACGGAACCCTAAACCCAACTGGTCCAGGAAATGAAGTTTCGGCGATCTGGAAGACTTTTTTTTTACTTCTTGGAGGCATCAGGTGAAATGGGTGCAGAGGAGAATTCCACACACTTTGTCTTGCCGTCAGAAGTCATAGCAGTGTATGCAGATCACTGAGAAAGCCCCCAGAAACCCCTATATACCCGGGAGACATCAACAGTGTTCTATCTGAAATGTACAGCTTTGTACGGAGTTCGTTCTCACTGTAGCATCCATCCAACTGCTGTGGAACCAACAATCCCAACCCCCTATGCTCAATCTGAACTCATCTCCATAGGAAAAGCAATGGCTTTGCTCACCTGGGCCCCTCACGTTGACATCCATGCCATTAGTCTCATAGTCACCCTGCGGTGGGGTCAGCGCTGTAGCTGGTGGAAGTCGGATGTCTGCAGCGGCTAAGTGGTGCTGCGTCCATGGCCGTGGGTCTACAGGATCCTGGCGACAGGGGGAAAGCTCCTCGGTCTATAGGAAATGGAAGAGACACGGATGTAATCAAATATATCCAGAAACAAAGATCTGTCATTCTATTAAAATTCAACAAAATGGCCGGCACGCCCAGAACCTAACCCCGTGAAATAAATTATTTGCATTCCATTTTTTCCCCATCACATGTGAAGAAGGTTGCAGAGGACCCGATTTCCTTCATAGGCGGAAACTAAAAGTAGCACTCGGCTTCTTTGGGAATAAGTACCGTAGCCTCAGACTTGGAGTACTATGGGGTTAGGGCTTTTCCCCATAGTTCTCCTAAGGGTAACGTGAGGACACAAACTGGCGTCCTCCCGTCACCCTAAGCTCAGTATATAGGGAGCTACAGCTCGCGGTATACTGAGACGCCGCAGCTGAAGCGGATCCCGACAATGTCTGGATCCGCCCAGCTGCGTGAGTGACAGCTGGCTCTGTACCCGCCCCCTCCCCCGTCTGTTCCGCCAGTCAGCGCTGGAGGATCGGAGCGGGGGGGAGGGGGGGGGAATCCAGCCCTCCCCTGTTACGGCAGAGAGCTGTGACAGGATCGAGAGGTGAGGGAACCCGGTATGTGTTTGCTCACTTCCCGATCTACTGAGCCGACCTGTGACCTGTGTAAGAGATCGGCTAGAACTATGAGGATGAGTGAAAAGCACCCCCCTCATAGTTCTCCTTTAACAAAGTACCACGGCGTGTCAATGGAAAGCCAACTGGGCCCGGAGACGACGCAGGTTTTTGATTCATGCCATGTATGCAGACAGGTTTCACTAAGTGCCTACAGGCTCACAATCGGCATATTCGCTACAGGATAGAGAAGCTACACAGAGTCAGCTTCACTGCTCAGAAGTGATATGCATGTTGGGAGTGATGTCACAGCCCTAGGTTTAGCATGCAGCTTCCACGTGAGGTTCCTCAAAAAGTATTTTTGCCATTTATAATTGCCAAATAGTGGACCATTCGCACACATTTCTCTGGAATCATTATATCCATGAGTGGCATTTCATTTTTAGACTCTCCGGAGTGTATATATTTGGACAATACTAATGGCACCCAGTAGGGTGAGGGTGTTTGGGAGGAGACGCAGTTGAGCCTAGAGGTTCACCGAAATGGAAATTTCTAAACAAAAAAAAAAATTGTCAGGCCGAAAATGTTTATTTTAATTTTTTCAAATTTTTTTTTTTTATAAACTTTTTCTTTTTTTTATATTTATTATTTCTTAATTCATTTTTTATTAAATATTCAATCACTTTTTCTGCAGCCCCTGTTATCAATGAAGCAGGAATCCTCTATACTGAGTGTTCCTGTTCATTCATAACATGAGGACAGAGTATGTTTACTATATCCACAATCATGAATGAACAGGAAGTGATGTAGGAGGTGATGTAGATCACTTCCCATTCATTCATAATTGAGGATATAGTACCCATACTCTGACCTCAATTATGTACAAACACTCAGCGATCACTGATCACCAACTGCTTGTACCCGCTCTCCATCCTGACAGTTGTCACAGGAGGCTGAGCGAGCGGAGCAGGGAGGAGAGCCCAGCCTCCTGTGACAGCCCGGCCTGTCTCTGCCCACACACCGCTTTGCCGTTCTGTGACAGGAGGCCGAGCAGTGTGGGACGAGAGATGACGGCCGGCTGTCACTCTCTCCTCCCCGCTGGCACACAGAGCAGCGCCCGGCGGGGGAGGAAAGAAATCACGGATGCGCCGATGTATTGGCACAAAAATTGCACTTTCGGCATTACGCCAAAAGTGCCATTTTCGGCCGATATATCGGTACATCCCCAGTTGAGACCTTTTGCCTATTGACATATGGTATTTAGGAGCTGTATAAGTAGACACTATCTTTATTCCCTGGCACTCACCTTCAGTCTTTTGGTCTCGGGACACTCTGCCTCAGTCCAGTCTTCAGAAGGATCTTCCATAAGACGTTCTGCTTTGGCGATGTTCCTTGAAAGAGAAGCACAGCATGAGCACAGGTAAATGTCAAGACCAATGGGCACACACAACGGAAGGCGCCGGAGCTTTCCTTACTTAAGTCCCAGAGCATCCTGTCCCACGGGCTCACGTCTGTCTCTCTCCTTTTTCAATATAAATCCTTCCGGGAACCATAAGGTGCTGTGGGCTCGTTTCCTTCTGGACACCAGGACGCCCAGCACTGCCACGATCAGGACCAGCAGCCCAGCTACGCCCACTAGTGGAAGAAGGTGCAACGACTGGGGAGGCTCTTCAATCTTATCGCCTGGAAGGAGACACAAAATGATCAATCAATCCGTTTCCCCACCTCGGCTTCATCATCATTTTTAATATTGAATGATATAGGACTTACTGTGCACAGATTTGATTGGATAAGGAAAATGAAGCCTTTCCACTGCGCTCAGCGCAGCCAGGTAATCGGCAGCATGCTTTGTATCCGGGAAGCACTCGGATGGCTCTTTGTCAACCTGCTTTTTACACAGCCGATTGTCGATTTCCAACAACACCTCAGACCTGTCCATAAATAACACAAAGTCACATATGAATCAAACATTTCTATACCCACCAATATTCCCTTACCTCATCCCCAACCCACTTGGAACAAGCATGCTTCTCTTCCACTAGAGTCCCATCAAGACCCTGCAAGTCATACCTGTGGCAGTCTTGCAGTGCCTTATAGTTCCACAACAGCTAAGGACCCGAAGTGTGGATACCCCTGTCCTAGAGCCAAAGGTATCATATCTACTATATCTAGGTGTTCTTTAAGCTGTGGCTGATGGACCTCTCATCTGATGGTGCCTTCATAATTCTGGGTCCAACACCACTTGACAGTGGCATGACACCAGAGATCTTTTAATGCCTGTAAGCGTAACATTATGACCACCACTCTAAGGAGGACATTCTTCCCACTGACCACCAATGTAAGGAGCATTCTTCCCACTGACCACCAATGGAAGGGGCATTCTTCCCACAGACCACCACTCTGAGGACATTCTTCCCACAGACCACCACTCTGAGGACATTCTTCCCACTGACCCCCAATGTAAGGGGCATTCTTCCCAGTGACCTCCAATGTAAGGGGCATTCTTCCCAGTGACCTCCAATGTCAGGGACGTCCTTTCCACTGACCTCCAATGTAAGGGGCAGTCTTCCCAGTGACCTCCAATGTCAGGGACGTCCTTTCCACTGACCCCCAATGTAAGTGGCATTCTTCCCAGTGACCTCCAATGTCAGGGACGTCCTTTCCACTGACCCCCAATGTAAGGGGCAGTCTTCCCGCTGACCCCCAATGTAAGGGACATTCTTCCCACTGACCCCCAATGTAAGGGGCATTCTTCCCACTGACACCCAATGTAAGGGGAATTCTTCCCACTGACCCCCAATGTAAGGGGCATTCTTCCCACTGACCCCCAATGTCAGGGACGTCCTTTCCACTGACCCCCAATGAATTAGTTTTAGCAGGGATTGAGCTACTGTAAGCCTAACATATAAACACTTTCCGTCAGAGCTGTGGGACAGGTGACAAGCATGCTCATCCCACCAGATCGGTACTCACCCTATGATGTCACTGTCCAGCTCTCTCCTAACCCTCCGTTCTGCCACCTGGCCTCTCCTGTACGGTTTAATCATGTACTGCCCATCTTTATCCACACGGAAGCGGAGAGAGGTGCGCAGGATGGCGCTGAGTCTCAGCAGGAATGCTTTACTTTCCTTCAGGAGCTGTTCCGGAGGGAGCAGAACCACAAGGACCAGCACTCCCTCTGCCAGCTGCTCTCCATCCCGGCCTCCGGCACAGTCAAGACCGTCCCAGCCGCATTCCTCCGAGTTACATCCCTGGTCGCACCGACCGTCTCCATAGTGGTCCAAACGGTACTGTTCATAGGCGGGGCTGCGAGAGGGGGGGGGGGGGAAAAAGTGCGTTTGATGCTTGTTCACAATTATAATTGTTCCTTGTGATGATTTTTTATTTTTTTTTACATCCTAAAACATTCTCCAAAATGCCATTACATATCCTTTTATGTTACTCAACTGACAACCAACAAGCTATCATTCATTTCCCCCTTCACGAACATATACTTAAAGGAGAACTATTAGTCACGGCTCTCTGCAGGGATAGATCGAGTAGTGAGCGAGCAACGGTATGTGTTCCCTCACTTCCCGATCTACTGAGCCGACCTGTGACAGTTTCATTGTCACAGGTCGGCTCAGATTATGAGGCTGGGTGCAAATCACTCGCCTCATAATTCTCCTTTAACTTTCTTCTGCTCTCCTGCTTGCTCCTTTCATTGTCGCAAGTCAAAGAAAGCACCTAATACTTTTTGGGTGCACAGGAAGATGAGACAGTGCAAGGCCAATCACAGCGGTCACACAGGAGTCTGTAGGCCTGTGTAACCTATGATTACATTATTTTATAGAGGACTTTCCTTCGTTCCCAGTCACAGGGGATGCTATCTTACATTCAGAAAATGTCTTGTAATTATTTTTTTTTTTTAAAGAATACAAAGTGTTCTTTGATTGGACGAGGTGGAGAGGAGGAAAGGATTATGTCACAATCTGCGTCTCGTCCAATCAGAGAATGTCTTGTATTCATTGACATAAATACAAGGGGGTTTCTGAATGGCAGTGGTGCCGAGCGATCAGTTCCGTGTGTTCAGTATACAGATGGCACGTTACTCAAGCAACAGCCGGAAGAGACCAACGCTGTATACTACACTACAGTGAATCTCTGCGTCCCCAGCGTCCCTCCAGATGTGAGATATGAATATACCCAAACCGGACCAATGTAAAAAAGATGATTCCAGTTTTCAAAGAAATCCTGTAAATTTGACAGCATAAAAATCCTGTAACTTTATTACCCAGAAAACCTTTTCCTCTGTAACTGGCGGCACGTTGTTGCAATTTCAGAGAGGTGCAAAGGTGTCTTGGCCAATAAAGTAATACACTAGGGATACACCGATATCGGTATTTCAGCCTAAATACGAGTACCAATATTTTGTTTTCCGGTACTCGCCGATACCGAAAGCCCCATTAAGGAAGCCAGGCGGCATGTAATGACTCGGCACCCGACTTCCCGATTAGCATGGAAGCCGCCCCCATGCTTCTCGGCACTATGTGACGAGTGTCATTACACGCTGCCCGGCTTCCTGATTGGCTGGGAAGCCGCCTGCATGCTTCCTCGTCACAAGTGACGAGGAAGCATGGAGCCGGCTTCCCAGCCAATCAGGAAGCCGGGCGCCGCGTCTTTACACGGCACCCGGCTTCCTGATTGGCCAGCTTCTTGACCAATCTGGAAGCCGGGCAGTGAGTCATTACACGCTGCTCGGCTTCCTGATTGGCTGGGAAGCCGGCTCCATGCTTGCTCGCCACAAGTGACAAGGGAGCATGGAGCTGACTTCCCTGCCAATCGGAAAGCCGGACGACGTGTAATGACGCGCTGCCCGGCTTCCTGATACAGGAAGTATGGGGCTAGGCATCGAAACATTAGGGCGAGTACGAGTACTCTCCCAAATAATCGGCATTGGCACCGACACTAGTATCGGTGCATCCCTAGTGGACCCTATGTGGTGCCTGTTCTAGGCCCTTTAATGTTTGAGAGGTATAAAATAAAACACTGGACAGGCTCCCCCTCAAGTCCTCCACAGCATTTCTGGTCCCTTACTTGCAGCTGCGCTCGGTCTTCTCCCGGCAGTCAAAGTTGTCGAACAGACAGTCGGCCGACGCGCACTCCGGATCGCATCTGGAATTATTGAACAGGAGGGAACAGCTTTGCCCGAGGCAGTCCTTCCACGGGTTATCCACAGACAGAGCGCAATCTCCACCATCCCAGTGACATTCTGGAGAATTGCACTCCCGGTCACAGCGGCCATCTCCGATCTTGTTGAGGCACTGTGGTGGGCTACATTCCTGAACTGGTGGGGCCACAGTCGGGTCTTTTATATCACACCGTGTGCCAGTAAAGTACTGCGGGCAGTGGCAGATGAAGTAGGGGAACTTGTCGGCAGAGACACACCGAGCTCCATTTTGGCAAGGCGATGTAGAGCAGGGCAAAGGGGGAGTTTTTGAGGTGACATTAATTAAGGTACGGCAGACAATGCCTGGGGGGCAAACACACTGAGGGCCCTGAGGTGAAGGGACACAGGAGGAGCCAGATGGGCAATTAACGTCTCGACAGAAATTTAGAGGCCGCTCACAGGAGGGTCCAGCGAAACCCTACAACACGATAAGAATGTTATGAGTAAATGAAGTATGCAGAATGGCGTAGCTTTCATCAAGTTTGAAGGACAAGTACTTACTGTAGTACATCGGCAGGTGTACCCAAGAGGGGTATTTACTGTCACACGGCAGACACCTCCATTTTGACAAGGCCGAGACTCGCATGTGTTAACCACACTCTGGCAGCGGCGGCCTGAAACATAATTATACATTACTTAATATAACATTCCTGCACTAGAAATATAAGCCAAGACCAATAGGTGGCCCCCCTGCTTGTTAGGGATTTACTGAAGAAAAAAAATGAAAGTTTCCATCTAAAGTCTAATTCCACCTTTCTGACCATGTTAGATACCTCTCTCTCTCTCTAGATATCTCTCTCTCTCTCTCTCTCTAGATAGCTCTCTCTCTCTCTAGATAGCTCTCTCTCTCTCTAGATAGCTCTCTCTCTCTCTAGATAGCTCTCTCTCTCTCTAGATAGCTCTCTCTCTCTCTAGATAGCTCTCTCTCTCTCTAGATAGCTCTCTCTCTCTCTAGATAGCTCTCTCTCTCTCTAGATAGCTCTCTCTCTCTCTAGATAGCTCTCTCTCTCTCTAGATAGCTCTCTCTCTCTCTAGATAGCTCTCTCTCTCTCTAGATAGCTCTCTCTCTCTCTAGATAGCTCTCTCTCTCTCTAGATAGCTCTCTCTCTCTCTAGATAGCTCTCTCTCTCTCTAGATAGCTCTCTCTCTCTCTAGATAGCTCTCTCTCTCTCTAGATAGCTCTCTCTCTCTCTAGATAGCTCTCTCTCTCTCTAGATAGCTCTCTCTCTCTCTAGATAGCTCTCTCTCTCTCTAGATAGCTCTCTCTCTCTCTAGATAGCTCTCTCTCTCTCTAGATAGCTCTCTCTCTCTCTAGATAGCTCTCTCTCTCTCTAGATAGCTCTCTCTCTCTCTAGATAGCTCTCTCTCTCTCTAGATAGCTCTCTCTCTCTCTAGATAGCTCTCTCTCTCTCTAGATAGCTCTCTCTCTCTCTAGATAGCTCTCTCTCTCTCTAGATAGCTCTCTCTCTCTCTAGATAGCTCTCTCTCTCTCTAGATAGCTCTCTCTCTCTCTAGATAGCTCTCTCTCTCTCTAGATAGCTCTCTCTCTCTCTAGATAGCTCTCTCTCTCTCTAGATAGCTCTCTCTCTCTCTAGATAGCTCTCTCTCTCTCTAGATAGCTCTCTCTCTCTCTAGATAGCTCTCTCTCTCTCTAGATAGCTCTCTCTCTCTCTAGATAGCTCTCTCTCTCTCTAGATAGCTCTCTCTCTCTCTAGATAGCTCTCTCTCTCTCTAGATAGCTCTCTCTCTCTCTAGATAGCTCTCTCTCTCTCTAGATAGCTCTCTCTCTCTCTAGATAGCTCTCTCTCTCTCTAGATAGCTCTCTCTCTCTCTAGATAGCTCTCTCTCTCTCTAGATAGCTCTCTCTCTCTCTAGATAGCTCTCTCTCTCTCTAGATAGCTCTCTCTCTCTCTAGATAGCTCTCTCTCTCTCTAGATAGCTCTCTCTCTCTCTAGATAGCTCTCTCTCTCTCTAGATAGCTCTCTCTCTCTCTAGATAGCTCTCTCTCTCTCTAGATAGCTCTCTCTCTCTCTAGATAGCTCTCTCTCTCTCTAGATAGCTCTCTCTCTCTCTAGATAGCTCTCTCTCTCTCTAGATAGCTCTCTCTCTCTCTAGATAGCTCTCTCTCTCTCTAGATAGCTCTCTCTCTCTCTAGATAGCTCTCTCTCTCTCTAGATAGCTCTCTCTCTCTCTAGATAGCTCTCTCTCTCTCTAGATAGCTCTCTCTCTCTCTAGATAGCTCTCTCTCTCTCTAGATAGCTCTCTCTCTCTCTAGATAGCTCTCTCTCTCTCTAGATAGCTCTCTCTCTCTCTAGATAGCTCTCTCTCTCTCTAGATAGCTCTCTCTCTCTCTAGATAGCTCTCTCTCTCTCTAGATAGCTCTCTCTCTCTCTAGATAGCTCTCTCTCTCTCTAGATAGCTCTCTCTCTCTCTAGATAGCTCTCTCTCTCTCTAGATAGCTCTCTCTCTCTCTAGATAGCTCTCTCTCTCTCTAGATAGCTCTCTCTCTCTCTAGATAGCTCTCTCTCTCTCTAGATAGCTCTCTCTCTCTCTAGATAGCTCTCTCTCTCTCTAGATAGCTCTCTCTCTCTCTAGATAGCTCTCTCTCTCTCTAGATAGCTCTCTCTCTCTCTAGATAGCTCTCTCTCTCTCTAGATAGCTCTCTCTCTCTCTAGATAGCTCTCTCTCTCTCTAGATAGCTCTCTCTCTCTCTAGATAGCTCTCTCTCTCTCTAGATAGCTCTCTCTCTCTCTAGATAGCTCTCTCTCTCTCTAGATAGCTCTCTCTCTCTCTAGATAGCTCTCTCTCTCTCTAGATAGCTCTCTCTCTCTCTAGATAGCTCTCTCTCTCTCTAGATAGCTCTCTCTCTCTCTAGATAGCTCTCTCTCTCTCTAGATAGCTCTCTCTCTCTCTAGATAGCTCTCTCTCTCTCTAGATAGCTCTCTCTCTCTCTAGATAGCTCTCTCTCTCTCTAGATAGCTCTCTCTCTCTCTAGATAGCTCTCTCTCTCTCTAGATAGCTCTCTCTCTCTCTAGATAGCTCTCTCTCTCTCTAGATAGCTCTCTCTCTCTCTAGATAGCTCTCTCTCTCTCTAGATAGCTCTCTCTCTCTCTAGATAGCTCTCTCTCTCTCTAGATAGCTCTCTCTCTCTCTAGATAGCTCTCTCTCTCTCTAGATAGCTCTCTCTCTCTCTAGATAGCTCTCTCTCTCTCTAGATAGCTCTCTCTCTCTCTAGATAGCTCTCTCTCTCTCTAGATAGCTCTCTCTCTCTCTAGATAGCTCTCTCTCTCTCTAGATAGCTCTCTCTCTCTCTAGATAGCTCTCTCTCTCTCTAGATAGCTCTCTCTCTCTCTAGATAGCTCTCTCTCTCTCTAGATAGCTCTCTCTCTCTCTAGATAGCTCTCTCTCTCTCTAGATAGCTCTCTCTCTCTCTAGATAGCTCTCTCTCTCTCTAGATAGCTCTCTCTCTCTCTAGATAGCTCTCTCTCTCTCTAGATAGCTCTCTCTCTCTCTAGATAGCTCTCTCTCTCTCTAGATAGCTCTCTCTCTCTCTAGATAGCTCTCTCTCTCTCTAGATAGCTCTCTCTCTCTCTAGATAGCTCTCTCTCTCTCTAGATAGCTCTCTCTCTCTCTAGATAGCTCTCTCTCTCTCTAGATAGCTCTCTCTCTCTCTAGATAGCTCTCTCTCTCTCTAGATAGCTCTCTCTCTCTCTAGATAGCTCTCTCTCTCTCTAGATAGCTCTCTCTCTCTCTAGATAGCTCTCTCTCTCTCTAGATAGCTCTCTCTCTCTCTAGATAGCTCTCTCTCTCTCTAGATAGCTCTCTCTCTCTCTAGATAGCTCTCTCTCTCTCTAGATAGCTCTCTCTCTCTCTAGATAGCTCTCTCTCTCTCTAGATAGCTCTCTCTCTCTCTAGATAGCTCTCTCTCTCTCTAGATAGCTCTCTCTCTCTCTAGATAGCTCTCTCTCTCTCTAGATAGCTCTCTCTCTCTCTAGATAGCTCTCTCTCTCTCTAGATAGCTCTCTCTCTCTCTAGATAGCTCTCTCTCTCTCTAGATAGCTCTCTCTCTCTCTAGATAGCTCTCTCTCTCTCTAGATAGCTCTCTCTCTCTCTAGATAGCTCTCTCTCTCTCTAGATAGCTCTCTCTCTCTCTAGATAGCTCTCTCTCTCTCTAGATAGCTCTCTCTCTCTCTAGATAGCTCTCTCTCTCTCTAGATAGCTCTCTCTCTCTCTAGATAGCTCTCTCTCTCTCTAGATAGCTCTCTCTCTCTCTAGATAGCTCTCTCTCTCTCTAGATAGCTCTCTCTCTCTCTAGATAGCTCTCTCTCTCTCTAGATAGCTCTCTCTCTCTCTAGATAGCTCTCTCTCTCTCTAGATAGCTCTCTCTCTCTCTAGATAGCTCTCTCTCTCTCTAGATAGCTCTCTCTCTCTCTAGATAGCTCTCTCTCTCTCTAGATAGCTCTCTCTCTCTCTAGATAGCTCTCTCTCTCTCTAGATAGCTCTCTCTCTCTCTAGATAGCTCTCTCTCTCTCTAGATAGCTCTCTCTCTCTCTAGATAGCTCTCTCTCTCTCTAGATAGCTCTCTCTCTCTCTAGATAGCTCTCTCTCTCTCTAGATAGCTCTCTCTCTCTCTAGATAGCTCTCTCTCTCTCTAGATAGCTCTCTCTCTCTCTAGATAGCTCTCTCTCTCTCTAGATAGCTCTCTCTCTCTCTAGATAGCTCTCTCTCTCTCTAGATAGCTCTCTCTCTCTCTAGATAGCTCTCTCTCTCTCTAGATAGCTCTCTCTCTCTCTAGATAGCTCTCTCTCTCTCTAGATAGCTCTCTCTCTCTCTAGATAGCTCTCTCTCTCTCTAGATAGCTCTCTCTCTCTCTAGATAGCTCTCTCTCTCTCTAGATAGCTCTCTCTCTCTCTAGATAGCTCTCTCTCTCTCTAGATAGCTCTCTCTCTCTCTAGATAGCTCTCTCTCTCTCTAGATAGCTCTCTCTCTCTCTAGATAGCTCTCTCTCTCTCTAGATAGCTCTCTCTCTCTCTAGATAGCTCTCTCTCTCTCTAGATAGCTCTCTCTCTCTCTAGATAGCTCTCTCTCTCTCTAGATAGCTCTCTCTCTCTCTAGATAGCTCTCTCTCTCTCTAGATAGCTCTCTCTCTCTCTAGATAGCTCTCTCTCTCTCTAGATAGCTCTCTCTCTCTCTAGATAGCTCTCTCTCTCTCTAGATAGCTCTCTCTCTCTCTAGATAGCTCTCTCTCTCTCTAGATAGCTCTCTCTCTCTCTAGATAGCTCTCTCTCTCTCTAGATAGCTCTCTCTCTCTCTAGATAGCTCTCTCTCTCTCTAGATAGCTCTCTCTCTCTCTAGATAGCTCTCTCTCTCTCTAGATAGCTCTCTCTCTCTCTAGATAGCTCTCTCTCTCTCTAGATAGCTCTCTCTCTCTCTAGATAGCTCTCTCTCTCTCTAGATATCTCTCTCTCTCTAGATATATATATATAGGGCAGGGGTGTCCTTCAAACTAAAAATCCCAACATGCCTCTAGGAGTCATGCCTGTAACTCTGTCTTGTGATGCCTCATGGGACTTGTAGTTCTACAACAGCTGTAGGGCCAGAGATGCCCACCCCTGATATAGGGTGCAACATGGAACATGGTGCCATTCCGCAGCCACCTGCCCACAACCAACCACTCCCCCCCACTTACATGATTCGTGGGGTTCTCTCTGCACCGTCCTGTAAATGTCGGCGTGGCTACAAGTCCCATCTACCGTTGTAGAGCTCAACGGAGAACAAGTGACGTCAACGCACTTTTAGTCCATTGATAACTTCCTCCACCTTCATAACTCCATACAGACATGGGGCTGGGGAAAGTCTACAGGAGCCTGTGCACTGCACCCGTGATCCACTCAGGGCCAGAGCTAGACCAGCTACTTGCACCCCCCTCCCGTGGCGCACAACCCCCAATCCCCCCACCCCGCATAGCCCCATTCTCCTGCAGGTTAGCTTCTGCAGGCGACAGGTGGATGTAATTTAATTTGAAATAGCCAATAGCAGACTGGCTATTGAAACCACACCCACTTAGCAGAGGAGTGAACCTGAGAAAGTTGTCTCTCAGTTGTGCTCCTCTGCTCAGTGGGCGGGTGCAATAGCCGGCCTGCTATTGGCTTTTGCAATTTGAAATAGATGGGGGGTGCCATGGTCAAGGCTGCACTCTAGGTAGCAGTGCGCCCTAGGCGGCTGCCTAGTTTGCCTAGTGGCAGCACCAGCCCTGAATCCACTGATCGCGGTTCCAATGCAAAAACAAAAAATGTATGTTTCCTCTTTTTTTGCAAAAGGTGCATTTATTACATTTTTGGGCAAAAAGTGGAATATTCCTTTAAAGCTCAACACCAACCCTACTATCAGTCTGACACACTTGCTCTCTTATACAGAAATTGCTTACTCTGATTTAGTTGCATTCTGTGAGCTCCTCATAATGTGCATTAGAAGCTGCAGCAAGTAAGAGCCCGCCTCATTTCCTGGCTGCAGGACATCCAGCATCTTCTAGCCCCTTTTCCTCCCCAGCATGACTGTCCCAGGCCCCCTTTTATCCATTTGGTTTCAGCTACTTCAACTGTCAGCTTTTCTTAACGAACGTATACACTTAACTAGTTGCAGGTTCCAGTAGCTGCTGCCTATAAAGGTGGATCCTTGCCAGCATTCCCTTCTTCCCTCCATTACACAACAATCTCACCTGTATAGCCATTCTTGCATATGCACTGATAATCATTAGCCATCTGGATGCAGTCGCGGGTGTTGAGTGCCACACAAGGTCCAGACAGGCACTCGTTGATGTCGCCCTCGCACCTCTCGCCGGTGTATCCTGGAGGGCAGTTGCAGCGGTAGCCCCCAACTTTATCCACACAGGTGCCGTTGTTCAGACACTTGGGCTGGCCAGAACTGGTGAGAGTGGAGCAGTCATCTTCATTGATCTCACACAGCACTCCTATGGAATTAGAAATACAATGCGGTCATAAAAGTCCAGGAGAAAGCAAAACGATATTCTTACATAACAGGAGCGTCTAAAGCAGGACACAGCCGAAGGAAAACCCAACGTGGGGACACACATGTGCAGTATGGAGGGAATAATACTAGGGATGCACCGATATATTGGACGAATAGGACACTTTTGGCTAAATGCCGAAAGTGCCATTTTTGTGCCGATACATCGGCGCATCCCTCGTTTCTTTCCTCCCTGCTGGGCGCTGCTCTGTGTCCCAGCGGGGAGGAGAGAAAGTAAGAGCCGGCCGATCGCTGTGAGCGGCCGGTGTCTATCCTCCCACACTGCTCGGCCGCCTATCACAGTGCAGGTGCAGCAGGGCGGTGTGGGGGTCCACACCGCCCTGCTGCACAAAAACGTCACAGACATCCAAATAAGCCGACGTTTCGGGGCCGCGCAGGGTCCCTTCCTCAAGGCAGAAAGACGTGACGTGATCTGCTTCTTTTCCTGTACCATTTTGGATCATAGTGCTAGGTATACCCTAAAGTAACATTATGGCAGCTGCTGAAAATGGATTTTACTCGCAATACAACTAAAAATGTGCATGTACTGTATTCAGTGCTCACTTTAAAACAAATATTTGTCATTGCTATTTATTGAACCTGAAAAAAAATATCAGACGGTCTCAGCATTAGTGGTATCCTGTGATACAATCTTTTTTTTGCATATTTTATGCAGATACAAATCAATAATAAATGTTTTATGTAGTTATAGCAAATATTTGCTCTGAACCATGTGCTGGCATACGGTACTAGAAACAAAGGGGATGACATTTGTTTAGGGAAAGCTGTGATACAAAATGAAGGAGCCATTACAACCTGGCACATTTCAGTCATTGCATCGATTAGGGATATGCGAGATCCCTACATCGGCCGTTTCAGCCTAGCGTTCCTCCAGAGGTTTGGCCTGTGGCTGATTGACCTGCCATTTGATGGTGCCTGGATATCTTGGGGGTAACACCGCTTGGCAGAGTCAGTGGCATAAACCCATTTCGCTTTTTAGCGGTCTGTAAAAATGGCAATCTGACCACCAATGTAAGGAGCATTCTTCCCACTGACCGCCAATGTAAGGAGCATTCTTCCCACTGACCCCCAATATAAGGCGCATTCTTCCCACTGATCACCAATGTAAGGCACATTCTTCCCACTGACCCAACGAAAGGAACATTCTTCCCACTGATCACCAATGTTAGTATCATTCTTCCCAATGTAAGGAGCATTGCTTCATCTGACAGCCAACGTAAGAGGCATTCTACCCACCACTGACCGCCAACGTAAGGGGCATTCTTCCCACCACTGACCGCCCACGTAAGGGGCATTCTTCCCACTGACCGCCAATGTGAGGGGCATTCTTCCCACTGACCACCAATGTAAGGAACATTTTTTCCACTGACCACCAATGTAAGGAACATTCTTCCCACTGACCACCAATGTAAGGGGCCTTCTTCCCACCACTGACGGCCAACGTAAGGGGCATTCTTCCCACCACTGACCGCCAACGTAAGAGGCATTCTTCCCACCACTGACCGCCAACGTAAGGGGCATTCTTCCCACTGACCGCCAATGTGAGGGGCATTAATCCCACTGACCACCAATGTAAGGAACATTTTTTTCACTGACCACCAATGTAAGGAACATTCTTCCCACTGACCACCAATGTAAGGGGAATTCTTCCCACTGACCGCCAATGTAAGGAGCATTCTTCCCACTGACCGCCAATGTAAAGGGTATTCCTCCCACCACTGACGGCCAACGTAAGGGGCATTCTTCCCACCACTGACGGCCAACGTAAGGGGCATTCTTCCCACCACTGACCGCCAACGTAAGGGGCATTCTTCCCACCACTGACCGCCAACGTAAGGGGCATTTTTCCCACCACTGACCGCCAACGTAAGGGGCATTCTTCCCACCACTGACGGCCAACGTAAGGGGCATTCTTCCCACCACTGACCGCCAACGTAAGGGGCATTCTTCCCACCACTGACCGCCAACGTAAGGGGCATTTTTCCCACCACTGACCGCCAATGTAAGGGGCATTCTTCCCACCACTGACGGCCAACGTAAGGGGCATTCTTCCCACCACTGACGGCCAATGTAAGGGGCATTCTTCCCACCACTGACCGCCAACGTAAGGGGCATTCTTCCCACTGACCGCCAATGTAAGGGGCATGCTTCCCACTGACCACCAATGTAAGGAACATTCTTCCCACTGACCACCAATGTAAGGAACATTCTTCCCACTGACCACCAATGTAAGGGGAATTCTTCCCACTGACCACCAATGTAAGGAGCATTCTTCCCACTGACCACCAATGTAAGGGGAATTCTTCCCACTGACCGCCAATATAAGGAGCATTCTTCCCACTGACCGCCAATGTAAAGGGTATTCCTCCCACCAAGACCTGGAAATTACTTCAAGGGTTTCATTGGGGGTAAAAAAGGTTGACAAAAAGGTCTACATGCTTACCAAGGGTTCCTGGCGGACAGGAGCAGATGTAACGACCAATCAGGTCAATACAGGATCCTCCATTCTGACACGGGTGAGACTGGCACTCATTTATGTTAATTTCACAGTTCGTTCCTTCAAATCCAGCCGGGCACTAGAGAAACAGAAGAACGTTAAACATGAACAAAAACAAAAAACCAAGGTGATGATATAATCTTGTCTCTTTAGATTCTTTAGTCTTCCTCACCTCACACACATAACCGCCAAGGTAGCTGTGGCAAGACCCTCCGTTAAGACAAGGATCGGGGTCACACTGGTTGATGGGCGTCTCACAGTAGCTGCCAGTGTAGCCCCCTCTGCAGAAACACTTGTGAGAGTTGCCGGTGTTCATACAGGTTCCCCCAGCGTGGCAGAGCGTATCCACACGAACACCTATCACAAAAACAATATGTAACGGTCCATGGCATAAGCCCTTGTCCTGCTTTTACCCACTTTTAGCCCTTATACGCACCTTTCCTGTTTGCTGCTACGTCACAAGAGACACGTGGGATATCACAGTAACTTCCTGTCCATCCAGGTAGACACTCACATCGGATAGACGGGCCTATCTGAGTGCAACGGCCCCCATTCTGGCAAGGGGAGCGGCGGCAAAGTTCCAGCAAGTTCTGGAACAGAGAGGCAGAGGAACTGTTAACATTGGCAAATATACTCATGCTTAATGTTGGTAAAAAGAAGCAACACATAAAAGGGAATATTCACCCAAAATCTGAATGTTTGAGAACCTGAGTGAAACTTTAATCATCTTGATGGTGAAGGAACGCAAAGAACACTTTGGAAAGTCACTTTTACACTCCTCTCGAAACTTAACATTTTAACTATTTCTGACATAGAATTTGGAAAAGTCAGATGCTGACGTTTCTTCAACTGCCAAAGATCAAGGACATTGAAGTTAAAGGAGAACTATGAGGCGAGTGATTTTCACTTACCCTCATAGTGCGAGCCGACGTGCGACAATGAGACTGTCACAGGTCGCCTCTATAGATCGGGATTTGAGCGAACACATACCGTCGCTCACTCACTTTCCGATCTCCCTGCACAGAGCGGACTGTCGAGTCACTTTTCACCGCAGGGATTCCCCCCTTCCGCGCTCCGATCATCCAGCGCTGAGGGGCGGAATAAACAGGGGGGGAGGGCACAGCTGGCTCTGCCTATAGATAGGCAGAGCCTGCTGTCAATCAGCCAGCTGGGAGAATCTCAACAGTATTGTCAGGATCCATCCCAGCTGCGGCGCTATAGCAATAGCTCGCTATATACTGGGCTTTGGGTCACGGGAGGACGATAGTATATGCCCTCCCGTGACCCTAAAGAGAACTATGGGATGAAAAGGTTACCCCACAGTTCTCTTTTAAAGGATAAATGTTAAAGTACAAGTCTGTGTGTCTGCATTTCATATTATACATGCAACGGCTCAGCATACTGCAGTATAGCTTCATATCATGATGCAGGTCTTGCTTACCACCACAGTTTTTGCAATAAACAATTATGGTGCTTTCTATTACTACTGCCTAGAGAACATCTAGGAGGGTTATCCGGCGCTTTCCTGTACCATGCAGACGCACCGGAGGTGACTGGCAAAACTACACCTCCCCGCATTCCTAGCACCTTTTGCCCACAGTGAGGCATCTTTATGTGAATGGCCCTTGCAGCCCCGTGGGGGTGATATATGTGCTGTCCACGTGTGCTGATGAGCTCACAGTGTTCGATCAAAGTTTGTGACCAGTCAAAGTGGTCACACATTTTAACGTAATCCCGCCCAGTTTTACAGCGGTGGAATGTGTGACCGCACATTAGCGCAAGCGTTCCGATGCTTTCTCAGCTGTTCCATGGCAGATCGGCTCACTGCGCATGTGCAGGATAATCGATCTGCATTACCCCCACCTGCCTGGAACAGCTGATCGGTCCTCAAATGTCACCTCTATCCGTCTTTGTGAGTGCGGTGGAATATAAGATCGCAGTCACAAAGTCGGATAGAAGTGACATTTGAGGACCGATCAGCTGTTCCAGGCAGATGGGGGTAATGTAGATCGATTCTCCTGCACATGCGATCTGCCCTGGAACAGCTGACAAAGTGTTGGAATGTTTGACCCAATGGGTGGTCACATATTCCGCCGCTGTAAAACTGGGCGGGATTAAGTGTAAATGTGGCACCACGTGACCGGTCACACATTCTAACGTAGTCACAAACTTTGATAGAACACAGGCAAATCGTACAGTGCTGGGCAGTATAAGGCGGGCATGTGCAATGCTAAAGCAGAGATGACTAATCTGTGTCTGTACAGTAACAAGGGTAATGACCACATTGCATCACCCCGTCATGCTGTTGTCTAATACAGCCGGGCAGACACAAACTGCGGCATTGCAGGAGCAGGTGAAAAAGTCACCACTGCAGAGGAACTTAAATAAAACCCGGACGTCATTTTAAAAAGGTAAATTCTGAGATTTTCAGTCCATGTGAAAGAATCAGGGACAGCGCTGAGGATTACCTGGTGATGCTGCAAGGATTTTTTTCAACCATTGCCCCCCCCAATTTATCAGAAATTTGTTTACAGCAATCTGCCACATCCTGCTCACCTGGCACTGCGCCCCTGTGTATCCATTGGGACAGATACAGCGATAGGACTCTACCCTGTCCACACACACAGCTCCATTCTGGCAGGGTCGGGAAGCGCACTCATCCACTTCGTGTTGGCAGTGAGAACCGGTGAAGCCAGGGCGGCAGATGCAGGTGTAAGTGTCCACGCCGTCTACGCAGGTTCCACCATTAAAGCAGGAGCTGCAGATAACAGATGTACAAATGCAATAAGTACAGCGACTGCGCCCAAAAGCATGGACAGAAAATCGTATACATCAATTCATTCAACTTTAGCTTTAAGTCAATCATTCCAGTGGAGCCAAATGCACTCTGTTCAGAGTTATATGATCGCTTCTGTGAGCAAAGCCAGGAGCATGCATAAAACGTATGACCTCTTCCATATCGCCATGGCCACAACGACATAATTTCATGCCCACTCATGAATGAAACCTTACTTATAAATCTATCAAAAGGCAATTTAGTAAGTGAGGTTTGTTATTTGCATCTATGACAATGAAGATACTGTTCCTTCCTTGAATTATGTTGTGCTCTATCTGAAGGTGGCATGGAGTAAAGTGAACCTGTGACCAATCTTTGCACATTTCGAGTATATCAATAATATTTACAAGCAGGAAATGAGCTTTACCTTTCATGTTACTCCCATATTTAGGGTGCAAGATGAAGCATGGTTGCAATTAACATCCCCTAAACCTATACCGCTCCCCCTTTACTTGGATCATATGGTGCATCTTCCAAGGGAATCCTTGAATTTTTTGGTTATCTTAAAGTGGTTGTGCACCACCCGCAAAGCCATCTTACCGAGGTAAATTAATATACTACAGGTCCCATCTTCCACTACAGCAGGTGGGACATTCGCAAAGCATGCCGGCTATCCCTCACCGCTCTGCAGTTCAGCCTTACTTTCTTCAGCTAGAACCTTCGTATGGACCCGAGGCTGTGGAAAAGCTGTGCAAGAGCCCGATTGGGACTGAAGCGCACTGGACCGCATTCCGGCCGGCTCACTGTTTTGGGGCGAGAGGGGGAGTAGCGGTACAGTGAAGTCAATGGCAACGCAGCCACGCCCTCCCGGCCGCAATGCGATCACCCGCACCCGAACGCATTGCCTGCGTCCCAGTCAGAAAAAATGCTGCGGAGGTTGTGGCTGCGGTGCCATTGACTTAAATACACCACCACGCCCCCCCCCCTCCCCCCCAAAACAAGTGAGTCGGGCGAAAATGCAATCCAGTGCATTCAGACACCAATCGGGCCGGAACGCACTGTGGCTCGTGTGAACTAGACCTTAGACCCCAATCACAATCAGCGACATGGTGAATTGCGCGTTTTTGCACGACAAGGTCGTGCAATATTGCCAGTAATGCGCGACACCAGTGAGTCTATTGGGGCCGAATTGTGCGACATCCTCCGAAAAAAGGGTCATGGACGAGCTACAGGCGACATTGAGCTGTGACATGTGAACAGCTCCATTGAAATGCATTGGACAAGCTACAGAGCGATATTGCGTGGAAATATGCGCGATTTCAGAGCGGAAATTGCGCGTCTTAAATCAATGTTGATACATTTACTAATGGCTCAATCAATGTCAATGTTCGCAGCTGATGCCTGAACTGATGAGGATGATTGCTCCAGTGTGTGCAGCTACAGAGGTCAGCTATGAAGCTCATTAACAAGTGTGAATGTTCATAGCTTGGTTACATTTTAAGATCTTCCCAAACTGATACATTTAGAAGTGGATATCCTGCAGGCTGATCTAAAAACGGTTTCCAACTTGGCCTTCACAGAACCTACCTCTCAGTACAGTCCGGTATGTTGGTTTCGCAGACTGGCCCCGTGTATCCCGGCGCACAGGAGCACACGTAGCTGTTAACATAATCCAAGCAGGTGGCTCCGTAGCGGCACGGGTTACTAAGACATTCATTGATCTCATTCACGCATCTCGGTCCGGTGAAGCCAGGCAGACATGTGCAGGAGTACGAATTCACGCCATCTTTGCAGGAACCGCCATTAAGACATGGATCTAAGAGTGCAGGAAAAAAAAGAGCAAAGGAAATGAAAAAAACTTACAGGCTGGTCGCATTAAAACAGGATTGTTTTTTGGTTTCTTTTTAAACTGCGACTTACTTGGTGAACAATCATTATAATCAGTCTCACAGTTGTTACCAGTGTAACCTGGCTTACAGACACAGTTGTATCCCCCTGGAAGGTTGGCGCACTGTCCACCATTTTGGCAAGGGCTCCTGTTGCACTCATCCACATCAATGTCACATGTGTCACCTATAATAGTAAGTGGCAAAATTACCCAGTATTCTATGACGCACATGCCTTCCAGCACCAGCCGCACGCATGTATGTGGCAGCTTGACCCTAAAGCCCACCGCTGTGCTGCCACATGCATGCCTATGGCTGGCGGCAACGGGTTTATTTATTACCCTCAAAAAGCATGTGAATGTGACAGTTACCTTCCCATCCAGAAAGACATTTGCAGGTGTAGCTTTCATAGTCTGCAGATGCTGTGCAGACACCGCCATTATGACAAGGCTCAGAGCTGCAGGGCACAAGGAGGGTCTCGCATGTCTGGCCTGGAAGGAAAACAGAAAAGAACCATTTAAACATTATAGCTTTGTGATCTCACTCTGCACCCCACACATCATTTACATATTGCCTCAGCAACAACCTATCCCTGCAATACAGAAAAGAAGAGGAAGCTCCTGTGACAAAACAGATTAGCAAGAAGACTGCAGGAAAAAGGTATGCATAGGGTGTCGGGGGGGGGGGGGGGGGGGGGGG